GGGGTGCGGGAGTGTCGGGGGCAGCCGTGCTTGGGCCACTTCTCACTCAGCACCTGCAGGGATGGTGGCGAGCAGCCTGCAGAGCCACACACAAGAGGGGTTTACAGCCCTGACGCCGTGAGGAGAAGGAATCCTTCCCTTCCAGGGGATCCCAGAGTTTGTGACAGTGCTCAGAAACCCCAGCGTGGAAGATCCTGCTGGAGGGGCAGTGCTGAACACCAGGAACACCACCCAGTGGCCTCGCCCTGGGCAAGATGGAAATTCCTAATCTGGGAGTTTAAAGCATCTTTCTACATCCCAGCTAGCACAGCAACCTCTTTTTCTACCCGGCCACTCCCAGAACTGATGATCTGAAGACATCTCGTCAGCACTCCAGAGAGCTCTTCTCTCCAGCACGTGTCCCACCCTCACCGAGAGAGCTGCTCCAGACAGACAAGGGGTGTATTAAAAGGAATTTTGAATAAAGCTTCAAGACAAGAGCCTTGATCAAACCCCACGTGTCACACGTGGAAGGAGACAAACAGCAAAACCCCCACCAGGCTGAGGCAGAGACTTCAGACAGCAGGTTAAGAGGAGAGGGAGGGCAACAAGTGCCACTCAGAGGGGGTACCAGCCCCCTCCCCAGGAAGGCAGGAGCAGCCTGTCCCACAGAGGGGTCCCCACAGAGCCCCAGTGACCAGGCTGGCTCCACAAGCAGCGTGCACAGGGCTGCAGGAGCCTTTGGCATTCCGAGAGCATCAGGCTGATACCAACCCCTTGGCTGGCACTGGTGCCAGTGAGCTGTGCCACGGGGCAGGGTGCTGGGTGCTCTGTCCTGGAGGGCACCCAAGAGCAGGAAGTGAGGAACGTGTTCAGGCATCTCTGCTCTGGGGAGCCCCCCCTGCAGTGCTGGGGCAGCTCTGGAGTCAGCACAGCAGAGCCAGGGACCTGCTGGAGTGGGGCCAGAGGAGCCCCAGCAATGCCCCGAGGGGGGAACCCCTCTGCTGGGAGCCCAGCAGGAGAGAGTTGGGCTGGGGCAGCTGAGAGGAGAAGGCTCCAGCTGGGGAGCCCTGCTGGGGGCTGCCAGGGGCCTGCCAGAAAGCTGGGGGGGACTTCTGAGCAGGGACAGTTGGGACAGGACAAGGGGGATGGTTTGAAACTAAAAGAGGGAGATTTAGACTAGAGAGAAGGGAGAAATTTGTGATGCTGAGGGTGCTGAGCCCCTGGCCCAGGCTGCCCAGGGAGGTGGTCGCTGCCCCATCCCTGGAACCATCCCAGGGGCGGTTGGACCAAGCTCTGAGCACCCTGCTCTAGCTGGGGCTGTCCCTGCGCCCTGCAGGGGGTTGGACAGGATGAGCTTTAAAGGTCCCTTCAACCCAGGTGGTGCCACACCCCCCTCACCTACCACCAGGGTGGACCCACACCTCCCAAGGCCACCTCCTCCCTGTGCTCCTGTACGGCCTGAGGGCACCAGGAGACCCTGACCTGCTGCAGGAGCTCCCCAGGGCAAACAGCAGCTTCCCTCTGCCAGACTCACCAGGGAGACCACACCAGAGGCAGCACAGGGACCACCCACTCCCAGGACAGAGCTGGGCACAGGCTGCAGGAAGGGCCTGAAGGATTTAACACCCACAAGAGGCTCCAGCTTCCAATTCATCTCTTGAAATAAAACTGATTTTATTGCCAAGCTGTTTGCCCACTCGAATAATGCTTCTCCTCCCAAAGATCCCACAACTCCCCCATGTGTTGGAGAAGGTCAAACACCCAGTTACTTGTTGCAGTATTTATTTGGGCACCCACCACAGAAACCATTTCCATAAGCCAGAGGACAGAAATAAAGATCTTCAGTCTCAAATCATGGAGATCTCTGAACACTGAGGAAGGCACCAAGGATCAAACCTGACACCAGAACAGAGCTGCCCACCCTGGCCTGAGCTGGGCTGGGGCTTTGTTTGCACAGGGTAACAAACCACAACTGCTTTGTCCTCCCCAGGCTCCTGTCCCAGGGATCCAAACCCACCCAGGGAGTCTCAGAAGCCTGCAGAGCAGACCCAAATATGAACCACTCTGGTTACCCCTGGGTGGTACAAGGCAATCCTGCTCCTGGGGCTCTCCTCTGCCAGAAACAGGTCCTTGAACTGACTGATCACCCAAGAGAAGTCCCCAGCAGTCCTGGTCTCCAAACTGAGAGCCCTGAGGATCTCAGCCAAGGCAGATGGACAATCACAGGCAAGAATTACCCCCAGAGGACCCCCAGGAGCAGCCCCACAATGCAGCCCCCCCACCTGCCCCAGGAATTTGCCTCCTCTGGGCCATGGCACAGATAGGGGCTGAGCTCATTTTGTCACAGTATTTTTAGACTCTGTCTCAGGGGAGAATCTGTTGATATAAACAAGTGTGAGTGGCAAGCACCAGCCCTTGAAAGGTAAAGAGCAGTGACTGAATGAAGGGGGAACAGACAGAGCAGCTTTATTTCCCTTCATGTCACCAGGAATTCGGGTCTGGCTCCTTTGTCAGAGGAAGGAAACATGCTCTTGAAAGACATTCTTCCAGGGGGCTGATCCAGCCTGCCAGGAGCAGCCCAGGCCAGCAGCACTGTGCAGGAAGGGCAGATAAAGGACGTGGTTTGTCAGAAGGTCCCCACACCCACCTTCCCCTGCTCTCCAGCCCCCATCTCAGGACAGAAGTGCCCACAGGAAAGATCCCAGTGCTCCCAAGGCAGCAGCAAGGTCAGGGCAGCCCAAGCAGCTCAGGCCACGGCCGTTGTCTCCTCCCCTGCCTGCAGCTTCTTCCTCTGCTCCATCTTCTTCTGCAGTTTCCTCTTCAGCTGCAGTTGCTTTTTCTTCTGTAGTGTCTCCTGGATCTTCTCACGGCACCTCTTGTTTTTCCTCTTGATCTTGGCCAGCTCAGCCTTCCTTTTAGCCTCCAGGTCTGGATCCTGCAAGGGCAAACGCCAGGACACCAGTGCCACTGCTCTGCCCTCCCAGGCTGCCCAGGCTGCTCCCCAGCCCGTGGCTGAGCAGGCTGCAGAAATCACCCAGTGCTCCAGCTCACTGCTTAACATCAGCCAGGCTTTGAGAGAAAACCTCAGCACCCAAAGGGCAGTGAGGCAGCCACAGCACAGCAGTGGGGAGCTGTCACCTTCCCCATGGATGGCATGATGCCAGCTCCTGGTTCATTTAGGGAGGAGCAACTCTCACCTTCCCTTCAAGGATCATTTGTTTCCTCTTATTTATTTCTTTCTTCTCATCAAAATCTGTTCCCTCCAGCTCCTGTCAAAGCAAAAGGGGCAGTTGGTGATCAAGCCTGAGATGGAGAGCAGCAGAACCTCACCCATCTGGCAGCCTGCAGCCCTTCCCCACAAAGTACCAGCCTCAACACTCAGCAGCATAAAACTGCTCCAAAACCATCCAACAGCAGAGCACAGCCAGGGAAGAAAACAGAAAAAACCCTCCCCACACACAGATCCAAGTACTTCCACTAGAAAAGGAACAAAAGTTCTGGTTTATGTGCTCTGCATATCCACAGCCAGAGGGGAGACTGGAGCCAATCCCCTGGTTACACCCAGATCTCCCATCCCCTGAAGGTCAGCTTTGCACACTCACTATTTCACACTCCCTCCTGGTGACGTTGACGTGGGTGAGGATGTTGAAGACAGACTGCTCCTCCACAGAGAACTCCTGCAGCTTCAGCTCTGAACCAGGGCGAGACGTTCACACACCACAGTTGGTGACAGAATCCAGGGGCAGATTCTCAGCCAGTCAAACATCCCAGTATGGTCCCACTGATAACCAGTGGAACTGTTGTATGCCATGACTAACACTGAGTTCTTCAGCCTCTAACAAGGTATGAAATCCTTCCCCTCACCTACAGCTCTCCACAGGATAAGACATTGCATTCATTACATCTAGTCCCTAAAAAAACCTGAAGTCAGAACCTAAGCAAAGCAACTGGTTCTTTTGGTCCCCAGCAGCACACAGGGTAGCAGGGAAGGAAGGAAGAATCTGGCTGCTTTAATAAAAAGGTTACAAATAAAGTTCAACACATTTTCTCCTCCACTAGAAGCAGCAGGAAGACAAACTGCCACACTCCAGAGCAGAACCAAAAGCTGATGGAGATCCAAGTGCTCCTGCTCTTTCCCAAGCCTTACCCACAGAGGGAAGAGAAATCATTTTAAAGCTCCTGTTTTGGGTTGTGCAGCAGAGCTGCAGGTCCCACAGGCACAAAGGGACAAACCCAAGCCCACGTTTTACCCACTGGTGACCCTCTACTCACTGATCTCCTCCTCGATGGCATGGACGAGGTGGATGTCATACTGTGTCACCAGGGTAATGGCCAGTCCCTTCCGGCCTGCAGGGTGAGAACAGAGTGCTGCAGAAACCCTGACAAGCAGAGGGAGGAGCAGCCCAACCCACCCCAAATTCCACCTGCCCCAGGGCTCAGCCCAGCACGGCCCCGAGGGGTCTGTATCTGCTCTGGAAACTCAGCTGGTGGCTGGTGCAGCTCAGGGCTGAGCAGGGTGAGCCTCGGGCAGGCTGCTGAGCTGCAGATCCCAGCAGATCTGGCAGGGGTGGGGAGTCTGCCCTGCAGCTGCTGTGGAGGCTGCTGGGGCCCCCCCAGGCTCAGCCCCCCCCAGGGGCTTCCCCGCTCACCCGCCCGCGCCGTCCGCCCAACCCGGTGGATGTAGATCTTGGGCAGCCCAGGAGTGTTGTAGTTGATGACAACTTGCACTGCAGGAATGTCCAGACCTCTGGAAGGCAGGGGGAGAGAAGAGAAGTTGAGAAATGCTGCTTTCACACCTGCAGGTGAAGCTCCTGTCCGTGGCTTTCTCCAGGAGCCCCACATTCCCATGGACACAGTCTGCGTTGGCTCAGGCTGACTCTAGGACCAACCTTCTCCTCACTAAACTCTCACAAAATGCTCCATCACCTTGTAGCTGCTGTTCCATCCTAGACCCAGAGCCCACACAAAGCCTCCCAGAAGCCATCCTCCTGCTAGAACACAGGCCCCTGCTGCAGCAAAGGGTCAGAGCTACGTCACACACCAGTGGGCCCCAAAACACAGCTCACAGATGTTCCACAGCAGGCAGGACCAACCCTGTCCTACCCTTAGGGGGAACAGCCAGCTGAGGATGAGCCAGCATGTGCCCAGGTGGCCAAAAAGGCCACCAGCATCCTGGCTTGGATCAGCACTGGTGTGGCCAGCAGGGCCAGGGCAGAGATCTGGACTCCCCCAGACTGGGCACTGGGGAGGTCACACCTCGAATCCTGGGGTCAGTTTTGGGCCCCTCACTCCAAGGACCTTGAGGGGCTGGAGCGTGGCCAGAGAAGGGCAACGGAGCTGGGGAAGGGTCTAGAGCCCAAGTGGGGGGAGGAGCAGCTGAGGGAGCGGGGGGTGCTGAGCCTGGAGCAAAGGAGGCTCAGGGGAGACCTTCTGGCTCTGCCCAGCTCCTGACAGGAGCCTGGAGCCAGGGGGGGGGTCGGGCTCTGCTCCCACGGGACAAGGGACAGGACAAGAGGAAACAGCCTCAAGTTGCCCCAGGGGAGGTTGAGGTTGTCTCTGGGGAACAATTTCTGGCCCTGGAGGGTTGCCCAGGGCTTTGCCAGGCCGCCCAGGGCAGTGGTGGAGTCCCCACCCCTGGAGGGGTTTCCAAGCTGTGGAGATGTGGGGTGAGGGACACGGGGCAGTGGGGACCTGGCAGGGCTGGGGGATGGTTGGACTCGATGATCTGAAAGGTCTCTACCAAACCAACTGCTTCTATGCCTTTAAATCTCTCCTCCTGCTACACCCAGCCTAATCCCCTCAGGGGGCTGGTGCTTAAAGAGCCAGTCTCAGACCTTTGGGAGGAGACCAGGTTCTTCCCTTACCTGGCAGCAACATCAGTGGCAATGAGAATCTTACAGATGCTGGATTTGAACTTGGCTAAAGCTGCAAATCGCTGTCGCTGGGAGAGGAGAGAATTCTGTGTGAGGGGAGCTGGGAGCTGGGGAGCTGCAGGCCCTGGGCAGGTCCCTGGCATGCAGCTGGAGGTGCCCATCTCCCACCTCACTCCCCCCCTCACCTGCTTCATCATGGAGTGCAGAGCGATGGAAGGGAAGCTGTATTTCCTCAGCATCATGTTCAGGACCTGGCAGTCCCTTGAAGTTAAAAATATAAATGATTTATTGCAAGGAAAGGTGAAGCTGATGGATCAGGCCAGAGCTGGGGACCCTTGAGAAGCACAAGGGCAGGGGCAGGGA